GATGTCACGGTTGTAGCTGAATTAAAAGGATCGTGTCAGTGATAACACAAACTGAAAAGAATGGAATGGAGAGAAAGTAGTAGAAGGGTGAATGCAGGATTAAATAGTAGGGTGAATGCAGGATTAAATAGTGCTACAATATGCCTTTAAACTATGTCTCTTTTCTCTTACTTCTCGAGTTGTAAGTTTCGAAATGTAAAACAAAGGGCACTCACTGGCTCTTGCAATTGAAACTACATCGTTTACTGCAAGATTCAAGTTTATGTATTCTGATGTTTGTAGCGACTCCTTTCTGAAAAACTTCAATACAACAATAGAATCACACTAGTTCAGTGTGGCATTCATTGCATCCAATAAACTATAATCGGTCGATCTCACTGTATTTCTATATCATTAGTTACAGATACGACATTTTTTCCTCGAAAAGCTCGCAATCCTCACGATCACACAAGGCCAAACCTTAAGGCTCCTCAAACTGATATTTTTTACATTCACAAGTAAAATACAACTACCACTTAACAAAAAAAGTAACATAAACATCAAACTCACCCATATACACACACAATGGTGCAAACTGCAAACCCCAAAAGCCAAATCCAACGACAATCAAGAAACTTCCTCAAATTCATAAAAAAACCCTCAACAAAATCATTCAAATTACAGACTAAAATTCCGAAAATTCGATAAAAATCTTAGTGGGACACATCACATTACCTCCAGGAAGAGCAGCCAAGAGCAGCAAATTCAAAGGAGAGAACGAGTACAAGAGAGTCTCTGTCGTCTCGTGGGATACTCCCAGCAGCTCATCATCATCGCCATTATCATCCTTCTCCAAACCTAAATCCTCAGCCTCACAAATTCCACCCTTTTTAAGGGCAAATGTGGAAATAAAATTAGACCTGCGATGTCTTTTTCCGGTCAATTCAAGCGGCGGTTTTCGAAAATCTGTCGCCGGAAAGTGTGAGCGCGAGGATGAAGGCGAAGGAGGAGGAGGAGGAGGAGGAGGAGAAGAAGAGAGCGGCCG